AAAAAATAGTTGTTTATATCAAACAGAGAATGTATTCCTTTCAGGGTTAGGCAGACACTGTATTTACTTGCTTCTGAAAATAATCTGAGCTAAAAAGGTAAAAGGAGAGTAAAGTCACAGGAAGAGCCGGGACCATTTGTTTTCCCTCTGAATGTAAATACAACCCTTACAGAACCATGTTTGATATGAAAATGTGAAAAATGTGCAGGTTTAAAGCCACTTCACTTAATTTTAAAATGTTGCAAATTGTAGTTTTTTTTCCTTCTCTGTACTCTTGCTATGAATTAAGACTTTTCTGTCGTCGACAAACGATCACAGTGAGATTTGGGTGTAGCAAAAACATACTCCATAGTTGAATAAAGGAGAAAAAAATAAAAAAGGAAAAAAAAAATCACATTGTTATGTAGATGTTTTTGCAAACATATTGAAATTTGAAAACTGGAAAAAAAAGAGTCAATTTAGTGTCACTTAGTGAAAGTAGTTACATTACAATTTAAGCTAGGATTGCGCTCGTGCCCTTAATTAAAAAACAGACTTAGCAATTTTCACATGAGAGAGAAGTGAAGACAAACCAAATAATAAATCTGATGATACCTACCGCCATTCTAATTGGCTGTTATATTTTTAGAAAACCAGTGAGAACTTAAAACTATAATACAGATAAACTGATACTATCTACAGATAGTCCAGCTTTTTTGCTCCACCTAAGCAGCCTTGATGTTATCTTGCTTTTTAATAAAACTTCACTGTTGAGATCTGAGACTTACAGTGGCTTTAGATAGAAGCCAGATTAAAATCTGACTATAATGAAATCTGTCCTCACATTCTCAGTGAAAGATAAAGAGGAGGGCCCAATGGACTCGGAAGCTCGGCCCATGAAGGATGAAACTTTCGGAGAGTACAGGTGAGTCATCTGAATTTACGCTGTTTCCTGAATGCTTTGTTACGTTTCTGCACATTGATTTCTAACACAGCCCTGATTCCCTCAGCACTGCTTGGTTTTCCTAACCCTCTCTGTTCCTTTCATTGTCCCTCTCCTCCCTAATGCCTGCCCCTGTTATGCAGATCTCTAGAAAGGTATGCTGCGATATGATTTAATATCCTTAACCCACTTAATTTTGACCTCTGCCAATGCCTCACTTACCTTCTGCCTTCCCATAAACATTCAGACTAATTTTAATGTAATATATTTGTTTACTGATTGCATTATGCTCAACAATTCAAAACCCAATAATGTTCACCTCACTGCAATGTGAGAAAGCAAATATTCACGATTTATAACCTGGAACCGACTATTTTTAAAAAATTACTTAAAATATTAGTACATAATATTCAACCTTTGGCATGTAGCACTGCATTTTTCGTATGTATCATGTTAACATTTCTTCTGCTCTTCATGCTGCAGTGATCTCGAGGAGAAGCGAACAGCCAGCCAGCCGTCTCTGTGTGAGAAGAGCAAGCTGTACAGCGAAGACAACCTCGACTTCAATGGCAGCAGCGCCATGACCACAGAGCTCAACATGGATGAGTCTCTGGCCAGCCAGATCAGTCGTCCCAGTGGCGGTCCAGAAGGTTTCCACGGCCTGCCGGAGAACGCCCCGCTGAACCCCTCTACCTTCTCTCCCGCCACCAATGGCGTGCCCAACTCAGTCACCATCCTCGATTAACCCCCACACATCCACCGGGGACCATCAGACCAAAATATGTCAACACGTATGTGCCCATATGCTCCTGTTCCCTACTGACTTGCTGATCTGTACTTCGACGACTAATAAACAATCATGTTCAGATGTCCCTGGCAGCCATCTGATTGACTA